AGAACTGTGCTCTAATTGAAAGGGTGAGAAAACAGGTTTCTTGAAAGATTTTTGCAACCACAATTTATCTCTTAGGAGGCAGTGGGTACCACAGAATTTTCTAGAAATGGTGTATATTTTAACTGGGCTGTGAGTCAAACCAATGCATGCATTTGTCCAGGCTTTAGCTAACATTTGCAACCAGTAGCACGACCATGACTTGAACCCACTTCCTTTGGTTTTTAGTAATCTTGTCAACTCTTTTCCTCTGCTTCGCCACCAGCACCATTGATGTACAATCCTGCACTTAAAATTCTTCAATCAGCATATTTTGAAACAGATTTCCAGATTCTTAACCTACTCATTTTCCACCTTCCACCATTGTATTTTGTGTTGGACATTTTTTTTTAAGCAATACATAAGGAAATGTATGAAGTAAGGTTGTGCTGTTATACCTTCTTGCCTCTAGAACCTATTCTATAAAATGACATCTGATTTCTGGCCTTAGAGTGGAGCTATTTCATGGAAATAGTGGGGGGTTGTAAGGTGAACCACAGTAAGAGTCCCAAGGTATTCCACTGATGGAATTTATTTTTCAAGATTTTTTTTTTTTTTCCCTGAACGGAAACAGCTGGGCAGCAGTCCCATTGGAAATGAGGGCCATGTTAACTATTCATCATAAGCTACAACCACTTACACAAAGAAACAGCAGAAGTAGGTTTGGACATGTTTATTAATTGCCAAAGCTAGTTTTTAGTACCTGCCTTATTATCTTACAGTCACTGTAGGAAATCAGAGAAAAACTACTTCCCTTCAAGATACACTGAGAAAGTGTTGTTTTAACATACCTGCCAATTTGGAAAGATAACAATTGTTTGCTATTTTAAAATTGCATCTAGATCTCTGGCATTTTTTTCTTAACTGTTCTTTAGTCATAACAATTAGAATATTAAAGAAAAGAAGCATAGAGAGATTCCTGGGGGGAGAAGAAGCAAGCAATAAAAAGCTTCCTTTTTATTGTAGGAGAGGACATTATAGGTGCTATGGAACTTTTCCTTATTGTTCTGCTGAATTCACTGTGCTCCAGAGAGTGACCAGCACTCTACAAGGCCCATGGGATCTTTACCAAGTAGGAAGGAGCTGGTCAGACGGATGTGAGATAAAGAGATGCCTGTGCTGAGTTGAGCATTAGGGTGTGATAAATTGAATCTGTTGGTGGCTTGTGTTCTTTCTATTATCAAAAGGAGTGTGAGATGACTTATACCAAAAGATACAGACACATTAAGAGAATCACACTAGAAACAGAAAGTTAAACCTCATGTGGAGGGTTTTTGCAAACAGGCTCCCTGGCCAGCTATGCCTGAGGCTGCCTCTCCCACCTGGTTCCTCCAATGACTCTGAGGAAAGTTCCTGATTCTCTATTTCAGTAAATGACACCTGTTGTTCATGCCAAAACTGGAGTCATTTTCCCTTTCCTCCTCCCAACTCTTTTTAAATTCAGAGTACAATTTATACACCAGTGAAATGTACAGGTCATAAGTGTAGAATTTGATGAGCTTGGACAAATGCATGTATCTGTTTGACTCACGCCCCAATTAAAATGCAGACTCTTTCCAGAACATTCTGTTGTACTGCCTGCCTCCTAAGAGATAAACTGTGGTTGTAAAAACAGTTTATCTGCTTTCCTTCATTACCTGACAGCACTTTTGTGACTTCCTTTGACAGACACCAGAGTCAAGAGTGCGGGAACCGTAGTGCTGTCCGTGACCTTGACTGATGGGGTGTTTAATGAATTTCTAGGTGATAATTATCACTGATGATTTTATACAGTCTCTGAAAATAAGACAGCGCAGTCAGAATGCCTATGTTCTCAATATGAAACCTTTGTTTTGCTTGCTGCAGGAGCAGTGTGTTGCTGTACATTAAACAGAGTGGATTCTGATGCCAAGGGTGTTCCGGGTGGTAGGGCAGGAAATATCGGGAGGTGCCTTTTATGACTCTCCGGCTGGTTAAGCAAATTCCCATCTCTCTCAATGGAGGGAACTTAATTTCAGAAAGAAAAAGCACTAGGGAAATAAAGTTTCACAAGGGTAACCGGGGAGAATTCTGTGTGTTTTTATAGCTGGCCCTTGGAAAGTCTTTGAGCTGAGTATATCACTCACACCCTGGGGTAGCCTGGTCACGTGACAGCCAGGCTGAAAGTCGCTCCACCAATGTTTTGTTGAAAGGCTCCCAAATACTCAGCATGGACTGTGGACTCAATAGCAAACAGTTACTGAATACACTCTGACTTTGGGGACCAAAGCCATATGCAGACACACTGCCTTACAGAGTTCCACTCCCACCACCAGGTTTGTGGAAGCACTTGTTAGGGAAAGGGTGAGAAAGAGATTCATCCTGCTTTTTAAAATTAAAGATGCCTTTCCCATCCTAGGGCCTCCTGAGACAAACAGGAACTCCCGTTAACTGGACTTAGTGCCAGCAGCAGAAGCAGCACCGCGGGAGTTGTCTAGCTGAACTGGGCTGACGCGCTCCAGTTTATTTCAGATTAATGGGCTTCTCTGGTTTCAGTCCCAAAGTCCTCACCAGTAGATGTGGACACTTCTCCAGTCCTAGAGCCATTCTACCTGCCCTGGGTTCTTAGCATGATTCTGCCTACAGACATCGTCATTTATTTATCTGGGACATAGGGGTTGTTTTTATTTAGGAATAGAAGCCAAAGGATGAAAGAATGACAGTTTCCTACTGGGAGACTGGTCTGACTAAAATTTGTCTGTGTATTTGTAGAAACTCCTTGTAGAACTTCAAGAATATGTTTATTCCCAAGTCGCTGCAACTTAACCCTGCTGAAGGAATTTTGGAAGGATATAGTTATGGAGATGCAGTTATTGAAAATGTGGTGGCATTACTCATGAGGCACCATGGCCTAGGAGCCCATACTGGACTAAGCCTGGGGACCAGGGTTCCACCCCCAACTTCATCACTAAATTGATGGGTCACTTACATCAGTTCACTTACAGGGAAATTATAAAGGGATATGTTCTTAGGTCTTTTCCAGTTATAAATTTCCATGTATATATAGCAACAAGTCAGATTCAATTTTATGGGGATCATGTTAAAATTTTATGATTGGCACTAATGATGACCTGAAACTCCCATAACATTTTCCATCAGCAAATCTTTTAATAGAATATTACTTGATTTTTGCAATGATCAGGTAGCTTACATAGGTCAATTAGACTGCTTAGAAATCTCTAAAAGCTGAGTAAACTGCAAACAAAACTAAACAATCTCCCTTTCTCCTAGCTGTTTGAAGACCTTGGAAAGCAACCGTGATTTTGAAGAAAAATGTATCATGGTGAGTCTAGGACTCCTGGCTACTTTTCTTCTTGACATATTTACTAATTTATAAGAGGTGGAGGGCTAAGAAAAAAGCAGAAAAATGACAGCTCAAGCCTACTAGTCTCACTAGCTTGAGGAGACAACTTTGGTGCTCATGGTTATTATTAAATAGCTGGAATTTGAGGGCCTATTGTCTCAGAGGAAAGGGAAACTCCAGAGAAGTGGTTCTAAAATTTTATTCAGGTTTTACCTGCCAAACACTTGCAAAATCATAAACTACGTGTAGTAGAAGTATATACAAGGGAAGCAGAGAACAGCAGCTAAAAGCTAAAATGTTAATTTAGCACAGCTTTGTAACAAACCTATCATGCTGGTGAGAGAGAATTTGAATTTCAGGGCTCTTTGAAGGGAGTTCCTGGTGTATATGCTGGGATCTCATTTGAGAAGACTGGGAGTAAATGAACAATTAGAACTAGACTAGCCCTCACAATGACAAACTCTCAAGCTGAAAACATCTCAATTCTTGATCAGATCAGATGATTTGCCCCCAGTCTATCTTCCTGTCAGAAGAAAATGAAATGAAATGTAACTTCACACAGAGCCTCTGTAATACTTCATTTGCAATGTTCAGCATTCATTCAAAACTACCAAATATGTCAGGATACAGAGCAAAATAAGTGTAACTAAGAAAGAAAAGAAACCGTCAAGAGGAACAGGCCCATAGGTGATCCATGTATCAAAACTCAAATAGGAATGGAATTTAAAATAGGAATTCCCTGGCAATCCAGTGGCTAAGACTCCATGCTCCCAATGCAGGGGGCCTGGGTTCAATCCCTGGTCAGGGAACTAGATCCCACATACTGCAACTAAAAGTTCTCATGACTGAAGATTCCAGGAGATTCCCTTGTGCCACAGCTAAGACCTGGCAAAGCCTAAATAAATATTTTAAAAATATTTTAAAATAAATGCAGTTTATTCTTAGAGTGATAAAAATGTTCAAAAAGTCATGTAGCTATCATTGTGTAATGTGAATATGCTTAAATCCATTGTATTTTATATTTTAAATGAGTGAACTGTACTATCTGTGAATCATATCCTAAATGAAATTGGCAGAAAGGCCCCAAACCTAAGAAACTAATGCACCAGAAAAACACGTAATGATACTAAATTTGTATACAGTGAGCTCTCTACTTGTGAACGAGTTCCACACCAAGAGGTTGTCCATAAGTCCAATTTGTTCATAAATCCAACAGTTAGTCTAGGTACCCAACAAACACAATCATCTATCTATATAGTATTGTGCTGTGATAGGTTTATAATACTTTTCACACATATAATACATTAAAAACAAACACAAAAATATGAAGAAAACATTTTTAATCTTACAGTAGAAGACCTTGAAAAGTACAGTAGTTCAGTACAGCAGTTGGCATATAGGGGCTGGCATCAAGTGAATAGGCAAGGAGAGTTACTGCCTGGCGTAGGGACAGGAGGTGGGAGACGGTGGAGCTGAAGGGTCGTCAGTAACAGGAGATGGAGGGCGAGCTGTGATCCCCCTCATGCCTGACAGTGATGGAGCACACGTTTGCATCTTTGAAAGTTCACAACTTGAACGTTTGTATGGGGCGGGGGTGCTTACTGTATTCTACTTGGATTGGCAGCGCCAAGGTGCTAAAAAGGAGGCAAATAGAGTGTTTATTTAATTCGAGGTAAATGGCTTTGTAGATAATCCATGCTGGATCTAGAGGACAGGAATGAGTAGTATGTTCTTTTCTGTAGAAAAAAAAAAAACTACATCAGGAAACATGCTGATATCCCCACCATCCACTCCAGAACATTGGCTTTCTCTCCTCCAAAGATGTGGAAATTCAAGCATGAAATTCTGCAGTTAAAAACCTCATTGTTCCTCTTCATACAGCACATAAGACCTGAAAATACAGTTTAATTATTTAAAGGGACTGCATTATAAGTAAATGATTGACTGCTACATCCCCTGGTTAGAAAGTGAAACCCTGTTGGTGCATTTAATTCTCTGGGTAGTGAGCAGTGACTTCATTTTGATTAATGGTTTCACATGAAGCGCTTTTAATATTGGTCTCTGAAACAATAAAGATTAGGTACAATTAGAATAACCTTAACATTTTAATTTGGAGAATGCTTTTGGCCTGCTTGTTGCTTCATTATTTAACTGGAAAAAAATGCATCAAAGCATGAACAACTTTCTTTAAAAAGCATCTAATTGATTTTTGCAGACATTTTCTTGGTAGACTTAGACTGTTGAAAGAACACTTGATTCTGGTAAGTCCTAGAGTCACACTTGCCTGAGTCCCTGGTAACACGCCAGGGTCCTTTCGATTTGGGGTCCTGACCTTTCCCTGTGAGCACAAGTTTATCCGAGGGTGATGGGCTTTCCTGCTGCCGTCTGACAAAGTGACACTTTGAACATATCCAGACCTGCAAAGGCAATTTTTAAAGAAGGCAGAATATATGTTTGCTCTTTTAGAGGTGGTTTTCAGCTTCTCCTGCCACAGACCCTTGGTCTAAATAGCTGGTTTTCTATGGGAAGGTGGGAATTTCTTCACTAACAGGGGAGTCAGGCAGTCCAGGAAGCAGAAGGAATCCATGAGCTGTCACTTGAATTCCAAGATCAGGAGCATCCAATCCGTTGCTTCAATTCCCAGATCACATGAGCTGAGTCTCACCTCCAGGTCAGTTATGACTCAAAACTTAATTTTCCAACTGTCTTCAGGATACCCCACTCATTAATGGACTTCCCAGGTGGCACTAGTGATAAAGAACCTGACTGCCAATGCAGATGTAAGAGACCCAGGTTCAGTCCCTGGGTCAGGAAGATCCCCTAGACGGCAACCCACTGCAGTATTCTTACCTGGAGACGTCTGTGGACAGAGGTGCCTGGAGGGCTGCAGCTCATAGGGTCACAAAGAGTTGGACATGACTTAGCAGCACTCATTAACACGGGGGAGTCTGCAGAAGACTTGAGACACTTTCTGCTCACCTTCCTGCCTTCTCCCTCCCAGAAGCAGGACAGATCCCTTTTCTTGTCCATCATGCCTTCAGCATCCCATCATGAACAAAGAATCTTACCAGGAACAGGGTGGCGGGATGGGCATATCAAAGAATTTCTCCCAAGTGAACAATGTTCTCTCTTTCCAGGAGTACTTCTTGTGCATAGAGTTTTGGCTGGTACTAAGCTAAATATTTATTTCCTCTGAGTCATCTCAAACTTTAGGATAGTGGAAAAATCATGAGCTTTAGAACAATTTAACTGCATTCCAGTTCTAGGGTTCTAGCTGGTAACAATTATCCCCTGGAACTCAGCTTAACGGACAGTAAATGGTCACCAACAAAGCAAGGTCTAGAGCTCCCAGAAAGAGTCTGGCAGTTTCCCCTTCCCCTTTCCCTTGTTTATACTACGTGCAGCACTCAGCATAGCTGCTGGCGCCTGGGATGTGTTTACACTGAAACCAGTTTGCAGTGGACTTCGGAAGAGTGACTTCTTTACCCTGGAAGGTCTTTACAGAAAGACCAGTCTGGTATGGAAAGAGAGCTTACTTGAGTTTTAAGTGGCCATTTCAGGGCTGTTTTTCAGAGATAAGGCTCTGCAGTGCTGTGTATAGTTATGATTATGTAACGTTTGCAGCTCTGGACATTGAGCGGTAAGCTTCACATCATCAGGCTGCAGAACGAGGTGTTTTGAAAAGCTGGCTCTTTAGAGCAGAGCTATGAAACTGAGGGAGAAGCAGGCAGGGGATGGAGTCTGTTGGTGGTAGGGAAAGAGGGTACGGTGATGGTGAGGTGATTATTTGGGGGGTTGAAGAAAATAAAATATCTGTCTAATCTCAGTCTTCTGCTATAAATACGCTTATCTCTCTATAGACACAGAGTCTCCCCCAAATCCAACCATACAAGATAATTTCTATACTTAGCTCCTTCTCACCTTAATGTCTGCAAACTTGGAGTGCTCCCTATTGTAAAATCCAGTAGAAACAAAGGGCTTGTTTTCCATGTAGGTTGTTTTCCTAACAGAATCTCTCCCAATGAGCTTAGTGAGTGTTGATTCAATTTATAGACAGTGTGATTTCTTCAACAGCCCCCAAGTCTATAAAAACCACGAGAGGAAAATATTCTTTCTCCAGGTGGTAAACGTAAATGCAGCTCCCTATCCACCTGTTTTCATTTAATCGTGGATTGTTTGCCTCATTTTGTTCTTCCCACGTGGAATGGAAATGCCTGGTGTTGGCAGAGAGAAGCCAGCTACACTGAAACATTTCTACTCCGAAATCCTGAGTCGGTTAGAAAATAAATCCAAACTTATTTTTCTCTTGTTTAGAATTAGATTCATTGCCACCTCACTCCACCCTGGTCTAAGCCAAATATAGTTTGCAAGTTGAATTTTGCAGTTTTTGACCTGTTCTTTGGCTAGGAAAAGACAATGTAGAATATGATTGGTTGATCATTTTTCTTTCTCTAAGATTTTCCAACTCTAGTCCAAAGACTTCCATTTTCTCCTCTCTAGTGTCAAGAGTTTCAAAGCCTGAAAGGGAGCAGTGAGAGAAACGGAAAGGATGATGGGGATTTAGAAGCAGAACCCAAAGCATCTTAAGAATCTTACTCTGGGTTTCTCTAGCCCCGCCCATACTAGTCCATTTTTCAGTGAGCAGATGAGCCTTTTCAAATAAATGAAGATGCCTGTGACATGATTCCAGAACTGATGGAATGCAGATCAAATAGGAAAGGGAGGAACTATAAGTAAAAGATTGATGAGGAGCAAGAGTGGAAGGGGAGGCAGTAGCTCCCCTCTCCTCTCGGGTTCTCTGACAGCAGGTGGGCGCAGAGTGAAGGGCGGTAGTCTGCACCATCTCCTGTGAGATACTGTCCATTCTTCCCCTGTAACATGATTCTATTATACGATGAAGTGGAAGTTCAGGAAAGCTGAGGAATACCTTGCCCACATCACGTGCTCGTTAGGAGGTAGATGGAGTTTAGGCTAAGTCTGTTGTTTCCATGGCAACATCCCCTTTCTTGGGTTAGGATTAAGGAAGGATTAAAAGGTAAAGGAAAACAGACTAAAAAATATAAAATTCCACCAGATAATTGCTATGTTTAATACAAAAAAAGTGTCTGTATGTATAGGATCAAGAAATTGGAGAATCCAATAAGGTGTAAAAGAGGAAGTTGAAATGATAAGTACCCCCAAAATAGTCACTGTTAGTTTTCAGTACATTTCCTTCCAGGACTTAAAAATTTCAGTATTCAGCTGTATGTTGAAGTCATCTATCTATAATCTGGGCTTCCCTGGTGGCTCAGTGGTAAAGAATCCACTTGCCAATGCAGTAGACATGGTTTGATCCCTGGGTTGGGAAGATCCCCTGAAGAAGAAAGTGGCCACCCACTCCAGTATTCTTGTCTGGGAAATCCCATGGACAGAGGAGCCTGGCAGGCTATAAACTATGGGGTCTCAAAGAATCGGACATGACTTAAAAACTAAACAACAATAGCAATCTGCAATTTGCTTTTTTCCACTTAATATATCGTGAACATTTCCTTTCTACACATTCTCTCCTTTAATATGATTTTATTTTTAAATATTTTTTATATGCACTATTTTTAAAATCTTTATTGAATTTGTTACTATGTTGGTTCTGTTTTATGTTTTACTTTTTGGGCCATGATGCATGTGAGATCTTAGTTCCCCAGCCAGGGATCAACCTGCACCCCCCCTGCGTTGGAAGGCAAAGTCTTCACTGCTGGACCACCGTGGAAGTCCCTTTAATATGATTTTAAATCATTGAGTAATTTGTCCAATCAAAAAAGTTTTATCGAATGCATCTTATGAACCAGGCACCATTCTAGGAAATTGGGATTCACAAAATTAAAAAAAAAAAAGAAAGAAAGCTAAAGATGTCCTAGCACCAGGCAGTTCTCATTCAATGAGAGGAGGCACATAATACGTGGTAAACAAGTAAACATGATAAATACAGAATCTGATTTACAAAGTATTATGAAGAAAGTACATTAGGGATATAATAGAAGAGAGCTCTGTCTTTGTTAGGAAAGTCAGACAGACCATTTTTGAGGATGTGACAGTGGAACGGAGAATTCAAGACTAAAAAGGAAGTTAAAAGAAAACTGTATTCCAAGCAATGGAACAGCAGACCAGACAAAGGGCCCAGGAGGTCAAAAGCCTTCAGACAGGAGAGGTCTTCCTCTGTTCAGGGTGGGGACAGGGCTGTGCTGCTGGGGTGTCTGAAAGGAGGGGAGGAAGTTGGGGAGATGAACCAGCGGGGGGACACAGGGCGGAGCTCACCAAGATTTGGGAGCCACGACTTGATTCTAACCCTACACACAGCCGAGAAGCTATAGCGGCTTGGTAAGCCAGGGGAGACCGGACTTGATGAAGGTGTAACAGGCACGCATGTCTCAGCCACAGGCATGGAAAAATGGAATTTATTTCATAACCCAATTTAACTTCTGATTTTTAGCCCCGGGCTGCCCAGCAGCAGTCAGTCAGATCTCTCCAATTGCAAGTTTCTCTCGGTTCAATCCAGTGACTTTTTAGTAAATCCGAAAGTATAATTCAATCACCCCTTCCTTTTCCAGGGAGTAGGGGCTTGCGTGCATCCTGCCGAGATGTGCATGGTATGTGTGCAGAGGTGATGGTCTCTGTGATGGTGGTGGGGCGCTTGGATCGTTGCTCCTTCTCTAGTCATCGCTGCCAGCACTCACGCCCTGTCCTCATCCCTGTGGACCCCTGGCAGTTGTCCAGTTGTCTTGCACTGCAGACTGGCCATCAGTTCTGTCCCCACTGACGTGACTCTGGCCCCACCAACCCTCCAGTCACCAGGCCTGGGAAGGCTGCCCCTCTCAGCAGTGGGCCCTCCCTCAGACCTTCCATGGCCTCCTCCTGAGCTAGGATGGGGTCTGGGAGTCTCCTCTGCCTTTGTGAGGCTGCAGGGGATCAGGGGATGATGGGGGAGGCGGGGAGGAGTGAGCTGCTTTCAGGCCCTCACAGGAGCCCTAATCATCATTCTCTTTTCCAGGCGTCTAGGGACCTATAGTTCTGACAAGCAGGGGTGCAAGTTCACTCTGTCCTGGGATTCCCAAATGTAAAGAAAGTTTCCACTGGACACAGACCCCAGGGCAGAGGTGACTAGACATTAGGGGGCTCTCCCACCACCCATCCCAAGGACTGCCGTGTCCGTAGCCCTTTTTCTTTCTTTCTTTAGTTAGGATTTTAGTTGCTTCGCAATGTTGTTAGTTTCTGCTGTACAAGGAATTGAATCAGTTACTTGTGTACATATGTCCCCTCCCCTCCCTCTTGGACTTACTTCCTTCCTACCACCCCCCCACCCCCCATTCCACCTGCCTAGGTCATCACAGAGCACCGGACTGGTGTTCAGTGGCTTCCCACTAGCTGTCTATTTTACATGTGGTAGTGTGTGTGTGTGTGTGTGTGTGTGTGTGTGTGTATCAGGCCTAATCGCCCCTTCCCGCTCTGTGTCCACACATCCATTCTCTGCATCTGCGTCTCTATTCCTGCACCCCCACCCCCCATTCCACCTGCCTAGGTCATCACAGAGCACTGGACTGGTGTTCAGTGGCTTCCCACTAGCTGTCTATTTTACACGTGGTAGTGTGTGTGTGTGTGTGTGTGTGTATCAGGCCTAATCGCCCCTTCCCGCTCTGTGTCCACACATCCATTCTCTGCATCTGCGTCTCTATTCCTGCCCTGCAAAAAGGTTCAGTTGCACCATTTTTCTAGATTCCACATGCATGCATGTCTGCACCACAGTGCCTCTATCCACTTGCTGCCCTTGTTTCAGCTTTCTCTCTTTTGTCTCTGGAGACTGTGGGAAGGTAGCGGAGTGATGGTCAGAGCTTCCAGCTTCCCTGTGGATCTGGATGAGCGTTGAGGGCACTTTCAGGGGTCAGGGCAGTGGTCCCCACCATGGACTTCTCACCAGTCTCTCAGGGCTGCCCGCAGTCGGTCCTGCTACCCAGCTTCGAGCTCAGGGGAGTCCTGCATTTTCTCAGGTGTGTCCCCTGGTTACTCTGTAGGTGACTTCTTCGTTGCTTACTAGGAAATCAGAATTTTGTTGCCTTTCTGTAATCTGTTCTCATGTTAACACTTCAAGTTTGGTGTGTATGTTTACACATTTTCCTTTTTTCCTACACTGATCTATTTCTGTTGTTTTTTTAACAGTTCATTTTCTTTTTATATATTTTTGACCACTTCAGTTAGAATTTGTAAGAGAAGGCTTTAATATCCAACCTTTCATCACCTACTCATCCATAGGCTTTGTTTGAAGATGTTCACCTGTTTAATAATCTGGAATCCGTTTTGATGTTTTGTGTAAGGTGATATTGTTGTTGCTGTTCAGTCACTCAGTCATGTCTGACTCTTTGCAACCCCATGGACTGCAGCACGCCAGGCTTCCCTGTCCTTCACCATCTCCCGGAGCTTGCTCAAACTCAAGTCCATTGAGTCA